GATCGGTTGATCTGAGTCCTGGTAGGGGATTGATGATTCTTGAGCGGCTGTGGTGTGTGGTGGAGATGACTCTGATGTGGTAGCAAAACCGTGATCATCCACTCCTCCGTGATTAGGTTGGGGAGTTGACGGAGTAGATGGTTCATTATCTGGTCCGTGAAGGAGTGGAATTTCAGTGAAAGGGTCGATTGCTGTGGAAAAGTTGACGATGAAGCTGGTGTGCATGGAGAAGATGAGGGTTGTGAATTCTCGTAGAAGTTCTGAAAAAGGGAATTGAGAATCACACCTTCAGGTACAGGGTTTGGTTCAACTGTGTCAGAGTCCGCTGGTGCAGCAAGTGACGGGTCAGCCTGTAAGTGTTCCGTTGCGAAGTCAGCCATCTCATAGAATGTCACATTCACACTCTCAATGACCGTTCACTTGTCTCTAAGATAGACTCTGTAAGCTTTGGACTGCTGTGAGTAGCCAATGAACACCCCTTCTTGGGCTTTTGCGTCTAGCTTACCTCTATCAGTTCTGTCATTCAGTACGAAGCACTTGCAGCCAAATATCTTGAAGAATGAGATATCCGGAGTTCGGTTGAAGAGGATTTCATATGGGGTCTTGTCGAAGCGTTTGTGGATAGATGTTGTGTTTTGGGTGTAGCACGCAGTATTAATGACCTCTGCCCACATAAAGTGTGGCAATCTTGATTGGATGAGCATGGTGCGTGCCGCTTCGACAAGGGTCCTGTTCTTTCTTTCAACCACTCCATTCTGTTGGGGAGTTTTGGCTGCTGCAAATTGCTGTGTGATACCGAGAGATTCATAGAATCCAGTGAGAGTTTGATTCTTGAACTCGGTACCGTTGTCAGTTCTGATGATTCGAACACTGTGCTGCAGCAGTTTCTGGACTGTTCTGACAAAGGTCATAATGATTTCTGCTGCCTTGTCCTTTTTACGAAGAAATTTTGTCCATGTGTACCTAGAGAAGTCATCAACGATCACCAGTGTGTATTTGCGGCCATTGATGCTTTGGACTCTCATATGTCCACACAGATCCATGTGTATCAGTTGCAGCGGTAGAGTAGATGATGGGACAGGCTTTGACTTGTGGGAGCTTCTCGTCATTTTGCCCATTTTGCAGGCACTACAATGATTTTCAGCGGAAGACTTCAACGGAGGAAGCCCCTTCACAAGTTTCTTCGATGACAGGATGGACAGATTCTTGAAATTGAGATGGGAAAGACGTCTGTGCCAGAGGTTGTTTTGTTCTGTTGAAGCTTTGGACAGCAGACAGATGGAAGTGGTGGATTGAACGCTTTTCAGATCAATAGTGTACATGTTTGAGGTCCTGTAACACGTTAATAATGAGTTCCCTTCGCTGTCTAGAACACAGCATTGTTTGGCAAAGAACCTCACTTCCATCCCAGTGTCACAGAATTGTCCTATGCTCAGAAGATTGTGTTTGAGCCCTTTGACAAATGAGACATCTTTGATGGTGACACTGGCACAGATGACATCGCCATATCCAAGAATAGGAGATGAGGCGTCGTTCCCGAATCTAACATTGCCTCCATAACAGTTGGTGTAGTTGCTCAGTAGGCACTTTATTCCGGTCATGTGGGTTGAGCATCCAGAATCCAAGTGCCACACATGACCGTCCTGCAAAGCAATTAAACAGGTTTAGGTACCCATCTTGGAATGGGTCCTACCTTATCAATGAAAAACACCCTTTTAAATTTTGCTTTGAGCTGTGATCCAAGGTCAGCAGCTCTTTCAACAAAAGATCTATCTCTTGTGGGCTTTCCGATAGCCATATCTGCTTTGGCAGTGGGTCTGATTTTTGGAGCCCACTTAGCAGTTTCCATTTTAGTTTTGGTGGGTCTGTATTTGGGGACCCACCTTTCCATTTTGGTTCTGGTAGGTCTGAATTTGGGGACCCACCTTTCTGTTTCAGTGTGGATGGGTCTTAGTTTGAGGACCCGCCTTTCAGTTTCCGGTTTGGTAGGTCTCATCTTGGGGACCCACCTCTCAGTTTCAGGTTTGGTAGGTCTCATCTTGGGGACCCACCTTTCAGTTTCAGTTTTGGTGGGTCTTATCTTGGGGACCCACCTTTCCGTTTTAGGTTTAGGAGGAGAGTAGACAGGTGCTTTGTGATTGAACGGTTGTTTCTTCAGTTTAGTTTTGAAAATCTCCTCTTTAGAAAGCCGATCAAGATGTTTCCTTGAATGAACTCTAAGAGAATATTTCATATCAGGAATACAAAATGTTCCCTTAGAAGTTCCTTTCTTGGTTTCTCTTTCAGGTTTGAGCTTTCTGAAAGGCTTTGATTTAACAACATTCACATCACATTCATAATTATGGGGGTCTGGAACAGAATAACCATAAGCAATAGTAGAATTATACATTGAGCCATGTTCAAAAGATGTCACAGAGTTTTTCAGCTTGGGACTCAAGACTGAACTACTAGAAGCTGAGTTTACATGGACAGACTTTGACTTGGTTTTAGAGTACAAAATGGAGCTGGATCTGGGACCAGGTTTATTCTCAAAAACTTTCTTCCAGTTTTGGGAGTGGAACCCATTGGACTTTCGAAATAAGGAACCCCTTTTGGGACATTAAAAATGTCAAACCCCTCCTCGTTGTAGATTACTTTTTCTTTAGAAAGAGCTTTCTCAACCAGAGGAGTATAGTCAAAAGAAGTTTCAATTTTAGGATTACTCCTCTTCTCTTCTTCTTCTTTAGTGGTTTCTTCTTCACTTCCAAATTTCATTTTCTTTTCAATGTCTAGAGTTAAGTAAGTTGCATCATACAACTGGCGGCAGTCAACTTTCTTTAAATGACAAGGGTTCGGCAGTCCAAGACCAGCTTTTGGGTTGTAATGCTGAACGTCGCTTATTCGATTTAGAAAAACTGTATGTTCTGTTTGACCTCTTCTGACACACACGTCCTCAAGTTCCTTTACTTTTCTTAAAAGGCTGCTTCTTTTATTTCTTAAAAATTCACAGTCAACTTTGGCTGTGTTTTTCTCAACTTCGCTATCTTGCAGTTTCTTAGTTAGTTCAGCTATTTTAAGTTCAAAGCTTTCAAAGTCTGAGGACACCTTTTTGATTTGATCTTTGGCATTTTCAAGTTGAACGCTTAAGGAAGATTTTTGGTCAAGGTTCTGTTTCAGTACCCTGTAATTATCGTCTAATCTCTCTTGCAGTTCTTTAATGAGGTTGTCCTTATTGTGTAAGGACTGAGTTTGGATAGTGTGAGAGTGATTAGAGGTACTTACAGTGCTTGTAGAGCATTCACTTCCGGGGATCGCAGCATCACCCTTTTTCTCTTCTTCATCCTCCAGCCTTGCCATCAATGCGAAGTTTTCTTCCTCTTCTTCTTCTTCTTCTTCTTCTTCTTCAGTATCATCTTCCGCCCACTGGACCAGCTCAGTATGTTTGCCAGAGGCTTCTACTTCCTCCTGTTGTGCCAAGAAGAGCTTTTGTTTATTCATCAGAATCTTTTGTTTGTAGAAGTTTGCATCTCTCTTCTTTGGAAGCCGACAGTCTTTACTGATATGTCCAGGCTTCCCGCAGTTATAGCACACAGAGGTGTTAGCAGTTGATGTAGCCTTCCTGGCTGAGCTTTGGTCCTGGTTCTTCTGTTTGTAGTTGGAGGAAGAGGTCCGCAGCTTATTTGAAGAGTTGTTCCTCTTGGCAAACTTCTTGGCAAGTAGAGCCATCTTCTTCTGGAGATCTGCAAGCTCAGCTTCAAGATCAGTTCCTTCTTCATCACTTTCATCTTCATCAGATTCAACCTCCACTATCTTCTTCTTCTGCAGAGGTTTCGCTGTTCTTTTGGGCTGAGCTTCCATCAGTAGAGCCAGAGGATTTGGGCTTGATTGCTCCTCAGTGCATACAACGTCATTGACAAACTCCTTTAACAGTTCATTTAAGGTGAATAGATCAATCTCATCCATGTCAATGCGTTGTCTCAAGTCCTTTACTGTTTTGCTCCAAGATGGGTGCAGACTGGACAGAAATCTAGTATTCAGTTCCAGGTTGGTTCTGAATATTTTGATTTTCCTCATTTCATTCATCAGCTTCACAAGCCTGGCATGAGTCTCATGAAGAGGTTCTCCAGGAGCAGCCTTGAACGAGTCATAAGCCATTAGAATAGCAGATTTCTTGGTTTTTAGGCTTATGCTCGTGCCTTGGAGTAATTTTTCAATTTCATCCCACATTTCTTTTGCAGTTTGCATACTGTCAATCATCATGTACACTTCATTGGGGATGGCTTGGAGGAGGTATGTTTTGGCCAAAAGGTCTCCTCTCAGCCTAAGCTTGTCTGCTTCAGTGTATTCAGACGGCCTCTTCTGTCTTGTTTCCGGAGGAATGGGTGGATTATTAGTTGAGTCCCCTCCTACGTCAATCATTAGAACAGCTGGTCCTTCCAGGAGCGATTCCAGCATTGCGTCAGAGTTTTCTTTGTGCTCTAGGAAGTTCAAGAAGCGAGTTCTCCACATTTGGTACTCACCTTTTCTCAGTGATGGAGGAGTACTGCTGTTTCCTTGCGCATTGGATTTAGAAGCCATTTCTGTAGCTGTAGAAAACTGACCGTTCGAGAAATAAGATCAGAAAACTTACTAAGTCAAGAATTCGAGTTCCTGAGTATTAAAGGCCTAAACTCGAGGTCTGGGGAACTCGAGGTGAGAGTTCGAGTTTATAAACTCGAGGTCAAGAGTGCAAGTTTCCAAAACTCGAGGTGTAAACTCGCAAGGTCAAAACTCGAGGTCAGACTGCGAGTTTGCAGACTGCGAGTTTGAGACTGCGAGTTTGAGACTGCGAGTTTGAGACTGCGAGTTTCAGACTGCGAGTTTGAGACTGCGAGTTTGAGACTGCGAGTTCTTGAGCTCGAGTTCCTAACAGCGAGTTTCTCAACTCGAGTTTGCAGCTGCGAGTTTATGCGATAACACCTGGGCTGCGAATTCCTGAAAAAATAAAATTTCAGATTTTCAGAAAAACAAAAATGGTAGGTTGTAGCCCTTGTTGTAGAGATCCTTTCACCCAAGTTTCAGGTCAAAAAGCTACACGGAGCTTAGAGAAACGAGGGATGCGAGTTCTTGGGTGCGAGTTTACAGAGAACAAAAAATTGCGGAAACGAAAAAAGAAGATATACTGCTTGATCGGCTTTGAAACGCGATTCTAACAGTATAACTTTTACAACATTTAGTGCAGAAATAAGATTACAGATGATAAACTCGCTATTCTACAAAAGGAAGGAAAAACAGAGTCTTTCGCAAATAGTTCTTCTGATCAGCTCTCGATCGGCTCTGATACCATTTGTCAGTCCCTGTTTTCTATAACAACAGTATAATATGGCATACAGATGAAAGATTATCAACAAAGATGAACACAGAAAGATCAAGTGTAAACCTTCTCTGATATACCGTGAACCTTTCGTACAAGAATGATAAGCGCTAAGGCTATTTTGAGCAGATACGAAAGTTAACTTCAAACCTGAGTCCTCCGCCCTCTTTTATAGGCGAGGCTCAGGTATGCGTAAAAAGGCTTCTCGCCTAAGTATGGGCCTAACACTTGGCCCATATTGAATACTATTCTAACAGATATATTTAGTCAGTGCAGAACAGAAATAGTAAACATCTAAATTATTACAGACAAGACAGACAAACTTGATTCACAATAAAATAGTCTTCAACAGACGGTCCGCTCATGATAATCTCAACTATCGATTATTTCAAAATAATCCCAATTATAGGGACCTTCCACCAATAATGGTCAGACGTGACCGACTATAAATAAATTTCTATAGTTTCTAAAGAGATATATATCATGTAATCCCTATAAATAATCCCAAATTTTAATTTTTATGCTTCATTTCTATTAAAAATTCACCTGTTAGAGTATGTAATATGCGGTCATGGATCATTATTGACGGACAGTCTATATAGTTGAGATTATACAAAAATAATCAATATTTAGGATTATTGTTAGCGGACCGGCAATAGTTGAGATTATTATTTTCATTTTTTCCTACTTTAATTTAAAAAAATGGCTTCCACTTTCATAAGAGCGGTGTGTACTCTCTTTCTTTATAGTGATAGAGAAATCAAATAAACATAATTTTTATTATTTTTACAATATCATTTATATTGATAAGAAAAACTCGATATTTCAGAACTTTAGTTTTATTCTTGTATATGATAGTATGATACTTTAGTTTTAACTAATCGTGGAAATAAATGAGTTTTTCAAATGATTGTGCATCCAGTTGAGTTTTTACAAGCACTAAATCCTTCAGAACATTACTGGCAATCTGGCATCACTAAATCCTCGTTTCATTACAACTGTTGCAATATGTATAGAATTTGTTTCTTCATTGTTGCGAATGCAAGAAATATAAATTCTCTCTTTCCCCCATTTTAATATATCAAATTCTACACTTTCTTCATATTCACAAATATGAGATACAAAGAAGGCATGGTAATCGAACTTTGTGCAATAATAATATATAGGTGTAGAATTAATTTTTTCAAAAGTTTTTTGTGATATTTTTAAAGAGGTGTTTGTCCTTAAAAGAAAAAGAAGTCTCTTTCCAAGGAAGGCATGCATAATATTGAGCTTTTACGTTAATGGCTTTGTCATGGAAAATCATCATAGAGAAAATCATAACAATAATCCAAAACGCCTCGTAACTATTAAAGGAAAATCTAGGGATAAGTGTCAGATAGGGCCTCAAACTTGAAAAAAAATGTCAAATAAGGCCATATTTAGGATGCTTTGTCTGGCCGACGCCATTTGGGGCGGTTCCCGATGGAATTTTTTGATGAATTTTTTTGAGAATCTTATTCATTAAGTCTGGTATACTCATATCAAATTTGAACTAAAACTTCAATCGGGAAGGCATACAAATGAATTCTTGAAGATAACTGCGCAATTAAAAGAGCAGTTATCTTAAAGAATTCATTTGAATGTCTTCCCGATTGAAGTTTTAGTTCAAATTTGATAATTGATATGAGTAAACTAGACTTAATGAATAAGATTCTCAAAAAAAATCATCAAAAAATTCCACCGAGAACAGCCCCAAATGGCGTCGGCCGGACAGAGCATCCTAAATATAGCCTTATTTGACATTTTTTTTCCAAGTTCGAGGCCCTATATGATCCTTATCCAGAAAATCTACAATTAAAACCAATAAATTAAAAGAGAAAAATAAGCGCAAAATATTTTAGTTTTGTTTTCATATGACCACACAAAAGTTGGGAACATTGGCTTTCTCTAGGGATAGAGGTATCATCAGAATTAGAGAAGTCATACCATATATATATATATTAATCAAGAACGTATAAAAGTAACCATATTTGTTGAAGCTATAAATAGATCAAGTGACAGCTTCGTTTTCAGGCATCTTGTTCATATATACTCCGTGAAAACCATATTGGCAGTTGAAACTTAGGAGGAGCTAGTGATATAGTGAAACCATATAAAGAAGTACGAGATTTTTTCTCTTGGTCTCTGTTCTTTGGGAAAGCCTTCTTGAATCTTGACACCAAACGGAAAAGATAGTAACTGTTGCTTGTATAATGTAAGCACATCACAGCACGGTCTCCAGACTCCAGAGTACATTACACTATTAACTGCGTAATTTATTAATCGGGATAAAGACAAAAAATGACATTAAGATTTTTAGTGAATCTCGAATTAGACACTAACGTTTTAACTCCTTCCCCGTTAACACCCCTTCCCCGTTAACTCCCCCATCCAATTAAAGCTACCTTGGAGCACACAAAGGCAAGGATCGGGATTAAGGAGAGAAATCAACAATGGAGGTCGATCGTCCTGCCTCGAAGACGCTCTGCCTCGTCGCCGCTGCGCCTTGCCGTCGAAACCGCCGCCCCGCCTTGCAGTCAAAGCCGCCGCTCTGCCTTACCGTCGTTTTATCTCTACGTCTTTGGCAAAGATCTAGATCTGGCCGTGCTCCGTTTGATCTATAGCATCTCGCTGGCAGCTTGGCTGGTGACGAGGGCTATGAGGCTGAGAGGGGGGTTGCGAGGAGGCTGGGGCTCAGGTGGGGGCTGGTTTGGGAGGCTGGGATGGCTGGTCGGAGTTCGAGCTAGGGAGTGCGGATCGGGGGTTGGTTGCTCGGATCTGGAGCTGGGGAGCTGGCAAGGGCAGGACGGGGGTTGGATCTGGGGCTGAGGAGGGACAGGGTCTTGGATTGGGGTGGGCAAGGGCTTTTAGAATGATGGGGAGTAAACGACCGGGAAGGGTAACGGAGGCGTTAAAGGGTGGTATAGATGGACCCAAAAACTATAATTTTGTGTTTATTTGGTCTACTTAAAACGTTATTGTCTAATCCGAGATTAGCTAAAAACCTTAGTGTCATTTTTGGTCTTTATCCCTTTATTATTCTATTTCTAAGAAGGGCAACCTCAACTGTTATCTATAACAAAGGGTAATAGCGGAAAATTATCAAAATTAGAGACGGCAGTAAACCTTTATTCTAGAACTTGAATGGGAAATTGTGCTGCCATGAAAGCTTCCCTTCCTGTGTTGAATAGTACATAGCTATCGCCAATAAAATGACAAAAAGTATCATCCAGAAATTGAACCCTCCTGCAAAGGATGTAAATACTACATGATTTACATGTTGATGTCACAAAACTACACCATCAACTGAATAATACTGATTTTATTTGATAAAGAAATTGTGAGTATTGGAATTAAAGAAACTACCAACCATTTTTACTGTTATTGTCCTTGATAAGTGTCACTCTTGCACTTGAATCCATTGAGGCAGATAGCAAAGCCCTAAAAACACATGAATCATTTGGTCTATATATACACATGCAAACCCTATGAAACAAAGATGGCGGTTTTTAGTAAGTTATAAGAACCTTGAATCATCGGAGAATGTTACTTTGGTTGGTATACCCATATGTGCTTTCTTAACCGTCATCAGCACTCGCATATTTTCAGAACTCAAGACACGAACCTCGCCTTCAGTGGTCCCACTGAAAAGAAAATTACCACATTGGCTCTTCCCCACTTTTCTGATTATATTCATTCTAATAGTATAGAAGTAGAAAACTAACATAAAGAAATGTTATTTGCAATGACAGATAAACAAAAGAGCACCCTACTCAAAGCAATCATGTTCTAATCAACCCATTTCAGTCTTTTTCTATTGAACTAACCTCTTGCTTAACAATGGTGTGTGGCTTTTTTGCTTACCTGCCAATGCAAATCATATTTCTTAACATAAACTCAAGTAATTTCTTTGTATACGAATGTCTGTCATTGCTTAAAAAGCACTTTCGTTCTTTCTTCTTAACAAAGCTAAAAAGTTCTAAGCGAGGGTGCTTTAAAATGATTTTAATTTTTCTAAAGTATTTTACCTGACTAATACACCACAAATTACTTTTTTACCAAGCACTCTAACGTCTATGTTAACAGATCACTTTTCTTTCCAAAAGCCACCAACTTTTACAAGTAAGCATTTTCTCTATGCTCTCTAAAATATATCACTTCCCACAAGCAGAAGCAAACACCGACACAGCCTATATATGACACTAGTGACCTCAATCAGGGCACATAAAACTCAAATTCAGACTTGTTCACAACCAAAAAAATTATACTCCTTAGTAAGTCTCACACTGCTAGGAGCTTCCCATCAGCTGAAACATCAAATGCTGAAATCGGGAGAGAGACAACCAGCTTTGAGTTCATCCTCTTCCATGTAGTGGTGTTCCACATCACAATACTTCCTCCTTTGCCTACACATGTGGAGAGTAACACATCATATGATTATTTTTTCCTAGATGTAAATCCATAAATTCAGCGGAAACAAAAATGAAAGAAACTTCCAAAATTACATGTTTACCCTGTGATGCGGTGACATAGATGGTCTGGTTTTTACTACTTCGCGAGAACCTACAAAATCCAAACATCTCGTCCTGGTTGTACGAAAAGAAGCACAGACTGTCAGAAGACTACTGCAAGAATAGGGGATTGAAGTGGCAATGAAAACAAGAAATTCACGTAGGCGGACATGAGACTTGCCATAAATAAGTGAGTTAGAAGTTAGAACAACCTTGGATGTATAATGCATAACATAATTTTTTTGAATAGTTTCAGAGTTATATTAATAAACCAAATAGACTTTTCCAAGTTGAAAAAATAAAGATATTTAATTGGCCGTTCTGTAGCCACTTTTTTTGTCTTAATGCTTTATCAGCCTTTTTTACTAAATGCAAATTTGCTTGACTGCACGCGCTGAACGGGTTAATAATGAAAGAAAATAGGGATAGAAATAGTATTCGGCTGAAGTTATTAATGATGATCAGTTGATCACTTTAGCCCCCCTTATCCCACCGCAGGTGGGAGCCGTTGCGGCACTGGGGTAATGATGATGATGATGATGATGATGATGATGATGAATTGATCACTTTAGCCATCTCCGTACATATTTTCTCTAATTTATAAATACAATGTATTTCAAATACCCACTCTTTCCCTAATTAAACTTCTTTTCAATTTAACACAGAATTTAAGCTAATGGAGTATGTCAATATGTGTGATTGTGTGGAAAGGAAAGATAAAGCAAAGATATTGGTTTCAACAATACAAAGCATGACTAGTTATTGAACACCAAGGAGTGACTGGAAATTTAAGTCATACATTTTTCTTCGGCAAAGAAGCCACCAATGTTAATTCTGAGACACTCCAGACTCTACAACAGCCACTTTCCAGAGATACGAGAAATTTTCCATCAGGGCTGTAGATATGACCACATTGACCCAATTAAAATCCTAGATTGAAGCTGTAGATTTAAGAGGTATTGAAAGTGTGACTTCGATTTAAAAATAATGTAATCACTAGGAACCTGAAATCTAAATCTTTTACAGAAGAACTATCCTTGGGCTCATCAATAATAATCTCCATGCTTGGCCATTTGAAAACTTTAAGCTTGCCATCCTGTTCTGCATAAAAAAAGTGATAATAAAGAACAATGTTTTTTTACTAAAATGCTCCTCGCTGCATTTTAAAATAACAAATAAGGGAAAAAACTTACTAAAAAGAGGAGAGAAATAGGCAAGTGCCCCTATTCTATAGACGAGTAAACATACTGGTAAGTGTTAAATAGCTTACCAAAGGCTACTATACAAAAAGAAAATGACAAGTACGCTTGGCCACTTGCTGATTCACTAAAACTCTAATTCTGGTCCTAGATGATTTTTTGCACTCTGGGGTATTTTATGGACAGACTTTTTCCTGCCTTTCATAGTAGTCAATGGCGAGATATGGAGCGCTCCATATGTGCCATCGCCATAAAAAGTGATCATCACCATAGCACCATATGTGCCATGATAAATGCCTTTGAGCCATGGCAATCACCATGCGCCATGACAATCTTGCTGCCTCTGGGATAGGGTCAAGTTGTCAAGATACAACTAACCGCAGCTTTCTGTCTTTGTCTGTTTTATCTTTCGAAGTTCAGATTAAAAGGGTTTTCTACAATGTTGTGAGCCAAACACTTAAAATTGCAAGCAGTAGAAAAGAAGACATCTACCTCACCGCCAACAGCAAGTAGGGAACCCTCATTGTTAAATGTTAGTGCTAGTTGCAGCTCAATGTCTTCCAAATTCTTAAGCACTCTCTGAGACGATTTTAGAGCTAAAGCACCATCATCTGTGGTATTGCTTGCATCCCACTCAAACCACCTAATTTCAACATTCATGAAAAGAGTGGACTTAGTTTTGAAGTTCAAAGTCCAAAGAGTTAAAAAGTACACATTCTACCCGTGTTTAACACTTTAACTGAATATATATACTCCTTCTGTTCCACAACGAACTTCTCATTTCCTTTTTGAGGTGCCCAAAACGAACTTCCTACTTCTCTTTTTGGTAGTATTTAAGGAGTAAACATAGAGTAGTCAATGGCGCAAATGGCGATAGCCATTGGCGTTTGGGAGGGCCTTCGCCACAATCCCTCGTGCTGGCATCAATTATACATGAGGCGTCACCATTCCTGCACCATGCTCACCGTATTTGGGTCTTATATTAGGCTTTTCAAAATAGGGATGTATTAACTAGGCCTTAGGTATAACCGTGTAAGTCAGTTAACTTAGGCCTTGATATTAATTATTTTAAAATTTAAACCCTAAATGGCTAACGCGTGAGTGACCGAGGCATACGATCGTTTACTAGCAAATAACGGCTAATCCCAAAGAAATACATGGCACAAGAACAATCGAAGACTGTAATTGAGTAAGAGAGGCCGTGCGACCACCAATACCCACCCAGTGGGCAGCGACCACCAGACGTACACCTGGGGAGTCCCAGTGGGGACTGTTGTTAACTGCTAATAAAGTGGTTAAGTGTGTTTGATTAGAATTACTTTTGGTACTATTATGACTTGCTCATGTGTTCTATTTAGATTTGGTTAGTTAACTCTTTTATTGGTGGTTAAGTCATACGGAGTAGAACTGCATGTAGGTCATATTTAGCCTAGTTATTTTTAATATTTCGTGGGGATGCCATAAATGTGCCATCCCATCACCATGGCCATGGCCATCGAAAACTACCCCGCATCACGATGATCACCATGTGTCAAGACAACTTTGGGTAAATTACTCTTTTACCCTATGAAAACTACTATTTCCATCATTTGCAATGGAGCCAAAGATTCATTATTTTTTGACTTGAGATTATGATGGAATAAAGCAAAATAGCTCACTAAACTGTCTGCGCTTCTTTGTTATGAAGCAGCAGTCAGTCCATGCAATTTTGGACGAGATTTTCACTATGGGTCATCCGGAAACAGTCTCTCTGTGCTTTAGTACAGGGGTAAGGCTGCGTACATCCGACCCCCCCTTACCCCACCGTAGGTGGGAGCCTTTGCGGCACTGGGGTAAATGAAAATGAAATGACCCTATGAAAACTACATCATTATTTATTTCTCTATCATAGTTTTGAGGAAGGCATATTGTAAAGTTAATAAATGATAGGAACCCACTTATATAAGACTAATAATAGAAGTACTAATAAGAATATTAGTAATAAGGGCATTTGATGTATTGTAGTATAAATAGATGGGAAGGGGGAGTAGTGAGGAGGCTTTTGGACTCTTTGTCTTGGGACTTGGGAAGACTGAGACCAATAATCTCTTTCTTTGGGAGCTTCGGCTTTTGGGGGCTTCAGCCATAGTTTCTTGTTAGGTTCTTGATTCAATAAAGCTTTGAATTGTTCTTGATAAATTTCTGTGATTTCCATTGAACTTCTGGAGGATTCTATCATTGGTATCAGAGCACGTAGATTCTGTGGATGGTATTGACGCGTACGAAGATGGATTTATGGATGAACGAACTGGAGGAAAAACAAAAGAGATTGAGGGGAAAATTGGAGAAAAATCAACAACAGATGAAGGCGTTGCTTAAGACGATGCAGGCGACGATCGCGAAATTGGCGGAGCAAAGTCAAAGTCGTTCGCGAAACAGTTCGCACCCTTCGCATAGGTCGCACCATACTTCTCACAAGGGACACACAAGAAATTCCAATCACGGAGAGCATGGCAACAGCGAACTTCGAGCGAGGAGCCTTAGACATCGTTCGTCGCAGTCGCTCCCAAGTTCACAGTCGGAGTCGTGAACTACTTCTCTTGGCTCGCAATCGCGAACTTCTTGTCACTGTTCACAATCGCGAACAGTTTATTTCAGTTCGCAGACTTCCTCACCAGCCATCGATTCACTTACAAGAAAGACGCGAGTGAGAGGAGAATATTCCTCCTCACCAATCCATTCTCACTGTTCGCGTTCTTCGTATCACGTCGCTCCTCCAAGTTCACAAGCAATTTCTTCAAGACCTCTGGTTTCTAGGAAAACAGAAGACCCCATTTCGCAATATCCCTCTGAGTCCCCTGAATTGCATCAGGAGTTGACTAATCAGCAGAATGGTGACAAGAAAAACAAGAAGAAATCATCAGATAACTTTGAACATGAAGCTGGTGCCGTTGCTGAACCCACCAGGGGTAAGATTTTTTCCACGTACTATCTGGACCAGCCAAACCTTGAAACGAATAGGTTCATGTTTCTTCAGATAGGTAATGTTCCTTCTCACTTTGTAGTTTGTACAGCTGATGAATTGGCCAAATGTCTTCAACACCGAAACGATGGGTTGTCAGTCATCAAACATTGCGTTAGAAGGAATGAACACGTCTGATAGTCTTAGAGTGGAAAGGGTTACTTCTAGGAAGAATTTTCAAAAAGAATTGGTGAATGATGTGTCTATGGACAAGTATGTTGCTGATTCTGACAGCCAGGATCAAGTTATTGGGGATAAAAAGGGGGTAAAAGTCCAGAGTATCTTAGCAGGGCAGTTGGGAAAGAATGATCCACAGATTTGTGCATTTGAAGGATCAGTCTTCATTCACTCCAATGTCAAATCTGGGATGGGAGTTAAGGACTGCAGTTTGACACTTTATGCAAATTGGGACTCCTGTAATTATAGATTGAAAGGGGCTGAGGAATTTACTTTTGAATATCAGTTGGATAAAATCAGTGTGGTCCTGGATCTTAATACTCAGAGTATGGTCGTGGGATTGGAAGCTGAAGCAAATTTTCAACCTTACAATATGATCTTAGGCTCCAATGAACCAGAACTGAACTGGTCCACGTGTGCTTTTGTAAGGGAAACCAAGCTAAATGTAGATGCTGGAAATATAGAAGTGGAACCCTACTTGATGGGAAAAATAGTTATAGCTATACCTCAGTATCAATGTACTGGTTATCAATGTGCAGTTCCTTCCTTGCTTGTCAATACACCAGTATGCATCCTGCAGTACATGGCATCAGGATCCAGAGTGGTGGTGGGGTTTGTAAGCTGCCAGACATCTTTGGAAAGGTTCATGGTCCCACAATCAGTTCGATATTGGGAAGGGAAAGGAACAAGGAAGAGGAAGAGGAAGCAAAAGATTTTGGCTTTCTCCTATTACCCACCTTGAGGACAAGGTGGATGTTTAGGGAGGGAGTATTGATAGGAACCCACTTATATAAGACTAATAATAGAAGTACTAATAAGAATATTAGTAATAAGGGCACTTGATGTATTGTAGTATAAATAGATGGGAAGGGGGAGTAGTGAGGAGGCTTTTGGACTCTTTGTCTTGGGACTTGGGAAGACTGAGGCTAATAATCTCTTTCTTTGGGAACTTCAGCTTTTGGGGGCTTCGGCCATAGGTTCTTGATTCAATAAAGCTTTGAATTGTTCTTGATAAATTTCTGTGATTTCCATTGAACTTCTGGAGGATTCTATCAATAAAAGAAGTTGTTTTGCCTAAACACCAGTTAAGTCAAACTACAAATTCAATTGTGGGATGGAGGGAGTATTATAGAACGACTGCAATATTTTGTACTCTAAAATGCTACGTATGAACTAGAGACACCTCTCCTCTTTTATTTCCCTCATTCTCTAACAACAACAACAAAAACCAACAAACAACATCGAAGTCTTATTGTCAAAAGAGTTTGGGGTTAGCTAACAGGAATCGACTTATGATATCGGAGTTAAAAACATACATCGCAAACGGATGATATATAACAGTTGTTGGTAATATTTTTTGCTTCATTCTCTGAGTGGTTTTCTAGTAACAAGTAAATGATTGGTCATACACTATACTGCAAGTATACCTGCAACTTTTGGGTAAAGAACAAATAAGACCTTCTCCTCCAGGGTGAACAGCCATCCTGTAAGGCACTTCAGTACCAGTTCCAAGCCTTGCTACCTTAAAGTAAATTCAGATGATATATTTTAGGGAAAATTCCTGAAATAAGAGAAAAAAATAATGTAAAATGTAAAATTCCAAAATAGAAGTACTATAGTTTTCACTCCTAAGTAGGAGTACGTTACTGATATCCTGAAAATCCACTGCTATATTTTGGCATTTCCAGACTTTAAAAATGACAGTATACTGCCATAATTGACAGTATTTTACAAGCATGACAGTAATTACTCATGTTTAAGGGAATAAAAACATAATGCCTCTACTTTGGAATTCATAAACATTTTTTCTCCTAGTTAGGGAAATTCCTAATATTTAAACGTCAAAGGTCAACCTCATGTGCTAAATGAGGAGCATGTGCTTGGCAACTATGTTGCGTGGATATGACGAGTAAGGCTAACTATGTTGAACATGTCAACTATGTTGAATAGGGCTATATTTGCAAATAATAAAAATATTTGAGTTATTTGCAAAAAAAAGTCATAAAAACAATTCTAAAGGTTCACAAGTAAAATACCAACAGTACCAACAACTGATAAATACTCCCTCCGTCCCTTAAAACTTTGCCAACTTTCCTTTTTTGGATGTCCCACTAACTTTGCCACTTTCCCTTTTAAGTAAAGAATTTATGGTTCCAGTTAATTCCCTCTCCACAAACCTCAACCACACAGTTTTTACTTTATTAATTCTCGTGCCAGTCAAACTTGGCAAAGTTTTAAGGGACGTGTTCAAATAGTAGTTTAAAATAAAGCACTCGTAGTTCAAATTCTAAAGTTGAATACCATCAAACTCGACTCATCAATTGAATGATTGACGTGTTCAAGCACTCTTATATCATTTCTTGTACATTGCGGTGAATGAGAATCGGGCAAATATTAACTTAAATACGCATATTGGTCTACCGATACTGGCGAAAGTTTTTCTTTTTATAACTTCATCCAGTACTTTCATGAAATTATGGATATGTGCCTGATACATAGAGTATGTGTATCAGTGAGTGTAAGTATTGCATCTGTATCAAATACGCGGATATGTCAGCAAGCTTGTTAAGACCTGTCCATACTTGTCACGGCGGTAAGTCGAGTCGCGGCGCCAGCCAACTGCCATATCGCCTAGGCGATTAGGCGCCCGCCTAGGCGACAATTAGGCGACTAGTCGCCTATATATATATATATATATATATATATATATATATATATATATATATATACACATACATATATATATATATAATTATGTATATAATTATATATATAATCATACATATAATTAAACTATGCAAAATATATATCATACGTAGTATATATTAGTATGTACCAGTTTTTATGATTATTTTAACAGTTTATTATTTTATAATTTAGAACATATAATAAAATAGAAGTCTCACAGGTTGGGTATATCATTATATCATATTATATATTGATAGATAGATGAAAATACACCCTTTATATATATATAAATACACAACTTAATTAATTAAAATAATAAAAAAATGAAGCCAAGAAGAAGAGATCGGGGACTGGGAACTAGGGAGTCGCCTGCTACTCTGCTTCCGCGAGCGAGGGACAAGGAAGGCCATACCTGCGACTTTGTCTTCTTCGTGGAGTTGTTCGTCTGCTTCCTACGACTCTACGAGGCTGCGACTTGGCTTGGCTATACGACTTTGGGCAACGAATCGTCGGTAAGGAAGATTACTATGGGCTTGCTTTTAAATAAAGCCTAAATCTATTTTTATTTTGGGTTCTGGGCCTGCGCCATAGCAATCCGACTCTCCAAAAAGGCGAGGACTTCGACGCCAAAACAGCGCCTAGACGACGCCTAGACGACGCCATTCACGACTACTCTTCATCTGGCGAGGCGAGTGAAGATGGCGAGCAGTCCCTAGTGCCAGGACGCCTAATCGGCGACTAGGCGACGCCTAGGCGACGCCGTGACAAGCATGGACCTGTCCAAGTTTATAAGCAAAGAGAAACAGAGGTCACCTAATAGGGTCAAGAAGCGAACACTTTCAAGTGTTTCTTCCAACTTTTTTTTGTGACAACAGAAAACTCATATCTTTCATTACATGATTGATTAGTTTTGCTATTTTTTATTTCAAATTACCATCATAAGAACATAATGATGTCAAATGAAATTATCTTCCCTCTGTCCCTTAAAAGAGTAAAAGACTTCCTACTTTCTCTCTTGGAATGTCCCTACATAATGCTCTCTTTCCTTATTGGTAAGTGAATTCCTATCAATTTACTTTATTACCTTTAAGTAATAATGATTGTAGAATATCAAACAGTGTTAAACCGTACCAAATAGTGTCAAACATTGTACTCTACGGTACTTACCCAGTAAAAAGGGCATTTCAGGAAGTCAACGAAAAAATATATATTTTGTTAAATTGTGTGCAATTCAAACTGGGAAGTTCAATAAGGGACAGATTGATATTAAAAAATAATTATTAGTTTTGTATTGGGATACGTTCAACCCAATCCAACAGAGTTTACCTATAGGTTCTTGATTTGTTGAAAGATATAGTGAAGTGAAAACAAAAATATATGCACCTCTTCTGAAGTTCTGCCTTGATATATTCATATAAAATGCACATATTGAAGATTTAAAGGATTTACACATTTTCAAATAATTTTTGTGTGTGATGGTTGGAGTTTACCTATGAAGCACGGAAACTCTCTGCGGCTCACGTTTCCCTGTTTCGGAAACTCGGAAGCATTTCGGAACTTCAGAAACTTCAAATTCTCATTTCGGAAATTCACGTTTCCCCGTTTCGGAAACTCGGAAGCATTTCGGAAACTCACGTTTCCCCGTTTCCCCGTAATTAAGAAAAAATAGGAAACCCGTTTCCCTAAACAGTTAGCATTTCAGAAACCTTTGATTTCCATTTTTTTATTTCTTAAGAGATTTTGTGATGGAAAACAGTGTATTTTTAAAAACATAGTGAATTTTGGTGGTATTTCTTCGTATCAACATTGTGACATTTCGTACCGCAATGAATTGCTGGAAATGTATTGCACTTTATGTTTAATTATGTACTAATATGTTGTGATTTCAAAATTTAAACATATGAAATGTTTTTTATCGGGTCATTAAACAAATTTCATGAAAAAATGTGTACATATATGAAAAAGTATTTATAGATATATCCTTATATTTTTAATAATTATGCGTTTCCCCCACGCTTCGTATTGTATGTTTTTTAGAAATTACGTATCTCGCGTTTCCCGTTTCCCGTTTCGCGTTTCCATGCTACCTAGCAGTTTACTAATTAGCATAATTTGATTGTCTCAATATTCTAATACTAAAACAAGAAGCAACATGAGTTGCATCAGTTCCAGTGTTAGCCATTTTCATAAAATAAAAGCCAACTCGCTACTTCGCTACTCGCAAGCAACCCTTTACTTTCAGCTTATTTCCAATTTTCCCACAAAGACGGTTTTCTGCATTTCTAGGTTAGTCTAGTTGTCTTGTTAATAATTCATGCCTATGCTTTCTTCATCTACTTTATTTTCTCTGGCTTATTTACATAAGCACACAAGTTTTCAGTAAACATATATTTGTGTATGTGAATGAGTGGAGAACATGTGTTCTGTAAGATATTAGTTTTCTATTACGCGCAGGGATAGGAAGATATTAGTTCTGTAACAAAACAACATAAATAATATTGAGAATGCCAAAGAAAGAGCACTCACTGGTTGGTTGGATAGAACATGGGAGCCAGAGTCGAATTGAACAAGGAGGATAGCATTTGGGACGCCGCTACGCCCTTCGCCGCCCCCTCCAGCAAGGACAATATAGTTGTCAGCAGTGAGCGAAGACAACTTGTCAGCAGGGACCATACTGTCTCCATCTTCCTCTGGCTCTGATTCAGGAGCTGATATGATGACCCCGGACGGGACCCATGCAGCCCCGTAAATTGGGACCCCGTACTTCTTGAGTCCTCCATCGTCAGCCATTTGAGGTGATGTTGATCCCTTATATCAATATATTAGAATGCAATGCAGTTTACTTTGCCAATTTTCTAGTGAAAACTGACAGAAAAAACAGTAACAAATATAGATAAATATATAAATATATTACACGCCAACAAAAAAATAGCCATGCTGATTGATATTGTATGGGATGTGGGAGTTGTTCACTTGTTCATAGAATTATTTGCAGGATTGGTGCAAAATTCTAACTATATCACTTATTGTGTGGTGTCTGATAACAAAATTAGAGTTTTTTTTACAAATTCCAGCCAAGAATGTGGGGTGAAAATAGATCGTGCTCTAGATTAGTAAAACAGTAAAACTAACACGCCAATGATGGATTAAATTAGAGTTCAACATCGAAATAAAAAACGAAAATCTACTACTTTTCTTATATCATTTCATCTCCCTTTGCTATCAGACAGTGATAAAGAGGTTCCAAAATATAAATCAGCACATGTTAAGATAAGAAGAGATGGGAGATGAGTCTAAGACTTAGAAAAACCAACCCGAGATCCGGAACCGATCGGATCAACTGAGGGCTGGGCTTCAGCTTTCCCCTATTGACTAATGTTGAGACCGCGGAGGGAGAGGATCGGAACAGGCGGAACGAGAGGGAGTCAGGTTGAGTGGTTGAGGAGCAGATTTGACTTTACCAATTGCTCATTTGCTCGGTAGCAGAAACAGAATCGTTTTTACTACCAGATGCCTCAGAACTTTAAAACTTTGAATAACAGTAATAACAGATTGAAATAATAAAGTAAAAACTGGTGGGACAGAGGTTTGTCTAGACGAGAGAGAATTAAATGTAATCACAAATTCGTTATTTAAAAGATAAAGTGACAAAGTTAGTATGACATCCAAAAAAGGAGAGTTGTCGAAATTTCAAGGGACGGAGGGATTTGAACCAAATTTCTGAGATAAGTCGTTTTTAAGAAATGGAGAAAAACAATTTCTGAATAATTAATTCTAACTTTGGTTCAACTATTAAAAGTGAAGTAGAAGCAGAATCAATTTCAAATCTTTCCAATTTTTTATGTTGCTCGGTTGAAGTACACATCTGGAGTTCCAAAGAGTCCTAATTTTAATCGGACTTAAGTTATCTAAGATTATTTTGGTTCAGTAATGCTTGGTCTATACGTGTTTTATAACTGCCAAAGTCTAGCCTTATAAATATTTGGTCTATGTGTATTTTTATAAAGGAAAAATCACAGTTTTGATCTCTCAATTAGTCATCCTATTGAAATGTCGAACACGTGTTTTTGAGATTGTAAATGTCACACCTGCCGTTTATAATCTATCTCCAATTATGGACTCCAAATAAATTCATCGGGGATGACATTTACAACATATCTATAAATTCAGGGGTGACATTTACAATTTCAGAAATACGAGTCTAACATTTCAATATGGCGACTAATTGAGGGACTAAAAGTACGATTTTCTCTTTTATAAATGTCGAAGTCAGATTGATTTGTTTAAGTATTGTGTGATAGTTTAATATGTTCTCGTATGACAGTGAAGACAAATGTGATATTTTAGTAGATTTTCGTTATGTGAAGTCAAATGTGATATTTTAGTAGATTTTCGTTATGTGAAGTCAAATGTTCTCCACTCATTCACATACTATTTTTCTCGTTATGTGAAGTCAAATGTGATCTTTTATTTATCACTGTCTGATAGCAAAGGGAGATGAAATGATATAAGAAAAGTAGTAGATTTTCGTTAGAATCAACTGTAATCACAAATAACGAATTTGTGATTACAGTTAATTCTCTCTCGTCTACGCTAACTTTGTTCGATTTGATTTGCAAGACAAGTAGGTAGCCGGTCGGTTATAGGGTATACCCGACCGGGTACAGCCCAAAACCGATATCTTTCTTCTTTGTCTTGTATTTTTGCACCTTCCTTCCACTTTTGTAGTTCACCAATGGTCTCTTGAGTGATCATGGACCCGTTTGAGCTCAGAATAAACCTAATCTAAACAATTTACAAGTATTTTACAAACTAAATTATTATACCAAAAGTGTGTAATTTCCAAAGTGATAACCAATCAAAACTAATTAAAAACACAAACATACACATGAAAATTATAAACATATGAGTATGTGTTTTGTAAGTCGTCAAAATATGAATTGCGATAATCGGGATCAATTTAGGATGAAAAACGCAATTTTTCGCCACCGGGGCACCCCTGACCGGCCCCGGTTGCGCCCAGACCGGCGCTGGTCTGAAACAGAACGTTTGGATGTTAACGTATTTGGGAAGGGAATAGTCGCCAAACGGTTCGGCTACTTTTCCCGAACAGAGTTAAGCCTAGCAGTATATTGGTAAATAGTTTTAACCCAACATTAATTCCGTAATTATTTAATTAATTGACATTAATCCAGAAAAAAACTCATATATTTAAGTATAGAAAGAAAAAGGGAAAAATAATTAAAATATCTCAAACTTTGAAGAGTGTGAGATAAAATTTTCAAACTTTCATATGTAATTTAACTGTCCCAAACTTTATATAAAAAGTTATTTTAACATCTTGGTTGTGTATCATTTTTTAAAAAAATAACTTATGATGTTAATTACATAATTTAAAACAGCAAATTGAAAACATTGCAATTATATAGAGTGGGGGTAATATTATTTATTTTACAATAGAAGTTTAGAATGTTGATTGTATTTTCATGAGTGCTAAAATATTTTAAATTATGAAATTAACTCCAAAAATTGACACTTTTGAAAAAAATAATGCATGGTCATGGTGCTAAAACAAATTTTTATACAAAGTTTGGAGTATTTAAATTACATATGCAAGTTTGTATGCTTACCTCACACCCCATCAAAGTTTGTGATATTTTTGTTATTTTTCTCGAAAGGAAAAATATATATTTACCTAGATTGGTTTCACTGCCATACGAGAACATATCAAACTATCACACAATACTTAAACAGATCAATCTGACTTCAACATTTATAAAAGAGAAAATCGTACTTATAGTCCCTCAATTAGTCTCCATATTGAAATGTTAGATCCATGTTTCTGAAATTGTAAATGTGACCCCTGAATTTATAGATGTGTTGTAAATGTCATCCCCGATGAATTTATTTGGAGTCCATAATTGGAGATAGATTATAAACGGCGGGTGTGACATTTACAATCTCAAAAACACGTGTCCGACATTTCAATAGGATGACTAATTGAGAGATCAAAACTATGATTTTTCCTTTATAAAAACACACATAGACCAAATATTTATAAGACTAGACTTTGGCAGTTATAAAACACATATAGACCAAGCATTACCAAACCAAAATAATCAATTCAAACTAGATCATATCATATTTTAGCATACCAAACAAGATGAAACCAGACTATCTTAGATAACTTCAGCCCGATTAAAATTAAGACTCTTAGATAATGTGCAGGGAAGATTTTGACCACGATCAAGTGTATATACCCGATCGGGTACATCGACACACCCGATCAAGTATCCCTTCAATTTTAACACCGAGTTCGATCGAGTATATATACCTCGATTCTGAAGTTTTACACATACCCGGTCGGGTATCGTGTATATACCCGATCGGGTACCCGAACTGCATTCCCAAAACCCTATAAATACACATCCTTTCTTTCACAATTACACACCAATTCACATATACTTCTAAGCTTAGTCTAGAATAGTTCTTTCTTTATATTTTCATCATGTTTAGTCTCCAAATGAGGAGCTATACTCTTCCATCTTGGTTATGCTACTTTGAAGCTTAGTGAATTTGTAAGTTGTGAGTTATTTTCTTCAATCTTCTTCCTTGAATATTAATTATTAGTTTTTTTCTTAATATTATCTCTATATTAATGTTGGGGAGTGTTGCTAAGATGACAATTAGTTAACATCTTGACATTAGTTATAGTAGAATTTTCTTCCTCTATATTAATGTTGGGGAGTGTTGCTAAGATGACAATTAGTTAACATCTCGACATTAATTATAGTAGGATTCATCTTCTTTAATAATATTCTTCCTTGAATATTAATTAACTCATATTCATATTTCATATTAATATTTTGAGCATTACTTAAAGGATCAACTAGTTTTGTTTCATATATTAATTATTACTAGAATCAATCGATTAATACGCTTGTTATTAATTCGGTTCGTTCAACGGTAGTAAACTTGGATTATTAATGCATGCGTTTTATGGTTAATAATTTAAGGGGAATTAATTATATTGATTAAACCAATAAATCGTGTGTGTTGAGGTTATCAATCTCAATCGTTTTCATCTTAAGTTTATTGCTACTATCAAGTTAATATAATATACATCACGTGTTCTATATTGACTCGGTAGTAAGTTTTATTAATGAACGTGTCTCGTTACTAATAACTACCCTCGATGAACTCGATATACTGCTCGATTGAGTATTCAAGAGTAAGATAGTTAAAGGTATAATCGGGATCGACGAACATTTCATTAAGTGGATAAAAGCAAAACCAAGTCTCCATCTCTATTAATTAAACTCATATAAGTTGTTCATCTTAGTATTATTAAATCAAATCAAAAAACCCCTTGTTACTAGTTACGTAAATGAAAAATATTTTTTCCCATGTGGATACGAACCTTACTTCGTTATACTATGTATAATTGCTGTATTGTATTTCTTTATTTTGAGTGCACATCACGACAAAGTGCACGTCAAAATTGGTGTCGTTGCCGGGGAAAGGCAATTATTTTCCTATTATTTTATTTCACGAAAAATCAAATTAAATAAATAAATAAATAACATATAAAGAGTACTTATTTTTCTATTTATGAGCTTTGTAGTATATGGTTAAATATCGTTCACTGAACGAAATCACCTACAAATCAAACCCCGAAATAGAACAAACTCTCGAGCGGTTGAAAAATAAATTCTCAAGCTCCGACTCGAGAGAATCATCTAGCGCTAGCTCTAGTTCTAGCGAATTTGAAGAGCCAATCATCATGGCTCAAGAAACAAGAACTTTGAGGGAGCTCACAGCTCCAAACTTGAATCAACAACCATTATGTATTACCTTCCCTACACTCAACGAAGGTAATACATTTGAGCTTAAATCTGGGTTCATTCATCTACTTCCTTCCTTCCATGGCTTAAGAGAGGAGGATCCAAATAAACACCTCTAGGAGTTCCACGTCGTATGCACAAACATGTGTCCTAATGGAGTCACCGAGGAGCAAATCAAATTGCGGGCTTTTTCATTCTCACTCAAGGACACCGCAAAGGATTGACTTTTCAATATTCCTTCAGGAAGTATAGACACATGGGCGGTCATGAAAAAATGCTTCTTGGAAAGGTATTATCCTGTTTCCATTTCATCATCTTTAAAGAAGCAAATCAGCAACATCGAACAAGGTGATGATGAATCACTTTACGAAATATTGGGAGTGCTTCAAAAAGCTTTGCGCTAGTTGCCCATATCATGGGTATACAGAGCAAGAACTCATCCTCTACTTCTATGATGGTCTTGCGGAACATGATAGACGTATGGTGAATGCGGCGTGTGGAGGGGGCATCGTGAACAAAACCTCATCTTAAGCAAGGAACCTCAACTTGGAGTTGGTCGAAAACTCGAGACATTACAATGGGAGATCGTCGTCAAAACGAGTTATGGCGGTGGAATCTACATCATCACTCAAAAGTCAAATGGCCGGATTAACTTCCTTGATTATGGATTTCTCTTAAATTTTAAAACCCAAGAAGCCAAGGTCTGCGGCATATGC